TTAAGTACATCTCAATAATTATAATAATAATAATAATAATAAATGCCTCCTATATATAAAGGTTTTATCTTCAGTAAAGGCTCACTGACTTCTGGGTCCGCTTGTTCAAAAGTAATCCAACAGATGAATCCACAGCTGTCATTAAGAATGAATCTTTTTATCGGGTTGTTATAAAGAAAATAACTAATTTGGATATATCATTTTGATCCAAGCAGGGGGCTGGAGTCAGACTGGACTACGGGGGAATGTTTTTTTTTTTTGTTTTTTTTAATCAAAATTGGTCAAACAATGCAATTATTTTACAAGGTAGTCTATATTTTAAGAAACTGTTTTAAATATATTTTGCACTAGAATAGTTTTTTTCTTCACTGACAAAGTGGATAAGGTAAAAACAAATTGCACCAAATAACATCAAGAACAAAGTATTTAATGTTAAGTGACTGTAAAGATCTTTTCAGTTTGTGTGGATTTGGCGCCCCCTGTGGACAAAGTATTCAGCGTAACGTCCCCTTTAAAGCACTGCTAATCTGGTTTTGGTAACCTTTAAAAGTCTGTGTCTGAATAAGTTTGATCCGATTCAATTCTTCTGTGAACAACAGGGATAAAAGTGAGCTGGATACGTGATTCTGTGTAAAAGAGAAAAGGTCGATCCAACTGAAGAAACTGTGTATTTGTTCAGGACTATTTTCAACAGTGCAGACTGCTTAGTACTAAAGAAGCAACATGGTGTATCATGTTATGACTCAAAAATAACATTAGCCTCATTTTATGAATGTAAGGCTGTTTTTGCCCACTAGGGGGCATACTAGGTCTGAAACAAGCCCAGACAAACACAGCCCTCTTGTAGCTTCAGTATATCAAGCCTGCATGAGACTCTGAAATAGTTCTCCTGTCCTTTCGACCCCGTGGGTCTCATACTTGATGACTGGTGAGTGTAACCACTGCACACACCCTTGGCATGGACGTCCTCAGCCTGTGGCCAAACAACTATGAATTTATGGTGCGGTTCAAAACTGACCCACAAAAACAGATTCTTGAACGCAGCAAAAGGGGGCCAAAGTGAGGGTGAGAGAGGGATGTTTAACATACGGGAATATTTAGTCTGCTTTACAACTTTTGGGAAAGGACCGTTTGAAGAGGATGGAAGTCCTCAAGTGAAAAGACGCTCTGACACAGGACCAGGCTTGGTGTCATCCCTGACATCATCACAACTCTGTCTATTTCTGTACTCCTTTGTCTCTTCACTGTTTGTTTCTTCAGATCACAATCTCCTCTCTTTCTCTCCATATTTGGACTCTGTTTATCTTGTCTTTCTCAACTCCTCTCTCCCTCTTTCTACTATCCTCCTTATCGGAGAAAAAAAAACAAAAAACACTCCTTCTCCCAGAGATCTGTCATTAATCTTCACTTAATCCAGACTGAACCTTGTTTCTGCCAACTCTCCCAACATGTGCCAAGTATGCTGCAACAGAAGGTAGCCACATCATGAAAAAGAAGACTTTATTGTTCTGTCTTTCAGAAGCTGATTTTCTCATCAGATTAAATTAGGATCTTTGTGTTGGCTTAGAAATTAGCTGCGTACAACCTCCAGTCAGTCTCTTTATTGACTGTAAAAGGATTTCTGTTCAATTTATAATCCAAGTAAATTGAATATCTCTGGCTTTATATGCTTATTGTCTGACAAGCTATTTCATCTCACTGGGTAGCCTTTTATATCAGAGCTTTTTTTAAAGCTTTTTTGTCCCTAAACTTCTGAATAAGCGACTCTTACTTGTTACAGTTCTGAGAAACAGAGTGATTGGGAATAGATTTACTGGAGTGATAAAGCTTTTGATCATCACCCACAAGAACAAACCTGCTTTGTCAAAGTCAGAATTTAATTTTTAAGGCATCCTACTCGTTTCATCTATTCACATGTTTAGAAACAGATTATTACTTAACGAAGTTTGACTGTTTTATAGTGCAATAATGTGTTCCCACAGACAGAACAAAGACAGTCCACTGTTCATATTTTCCTCTGTGGTATATTTCTGTTACATCTCTAAGGAGGTATTTGACTTGTACTTTACAAATATATATCAACATGTGATTCTTCTCTTTCCTCGGGCGAGTCTCTCATTTCATGTACACTGCAAAAAACTTGAATCTTAGCAAGAAAATCATCTAATTTCATTTCATCTCACACTTATTCTAAGACATATTTACCTGACAGGTGCAAACAAACATCAATCAAACCATTATTTCTTCTCTGAAGGACATTTAGGTTTTCCTCATTTCCATTACCGACAAGATTACAAGCAAAGTAAAACAAGAAAAACACTTAATATCAATTATAAAAACCACTGAGATCCATTCAAAACAGTTACAACTAGAAACAAAGTGGTTAGGAATGACATTTCTAAACAATGCAAGAGAGGGAAGAACTCAAATCTTTAGAATTTGCTGGAAGGCATTCCATGAAATTGGGGTGTTAAAAGAAAATGTAGTTTTATGAAGTTCAGCAAAAAGCAGAGAGACTTTAAGAAGGAGCCAATCAGAAGAAGGAGTCAATAGTGCCTGAATTCCTCTCCAATAGGTCTGTGATGTAAGGTGAATGTTTTGCAATCAGGGCCTTGAAAATATATAAAAAACCAATGCTTGTTGCGCCTCTCTTCAAGAGAACAATGTCATGACTCTAAACAGTGAAGAGCGTCTCAGATTCACGAAAATGTTACTCTGTGAGCGTCTTGAAAGGAAATGTCTGTTTCTAAATTAAGAAACCAATCCTATTTCAAGATACTCAACAACTCTGTCCTATTGGCAGATTTATTTTGCTTATTACAATAAATTAAGAACTTATTTTCTGTGTGTGTTTTTACAGTTATATTTCTTGGGTCAGTTTTGCCTTTATTAGACAGACCAGCTGAAGAGAGGCAGGAGATGTTGGGAGCAGAGAGAGGGGGATGACATGAAGCAAAGGGCTGAGGTCGGATTCGAACCTTAATGTCGCTGCGAAGAGGACTATAGCCTCTGTACATGGAGCAGGCAACATAACTGCTAGGCTAGCCGCGCCCCACTTGTCAGATAAATGTGGCTTATAAAAAGTGAAATTGAGATATTGTTGTTCTTGGAATAAGACAAGTACACTTGCTAAGAATCAAGTTTTTGAAATGTGTAGTGCAATTTGGTCATAATTGCTTTTTAGCACAATAATCTGTGAACTCTAGGGTAAAAGCTTTATTCTAAGGCAGTTGCATTAGAATTGGACACCTTTTAAACACATGTTCTTCTCAAACTGAGAAAATAAAGTCAATGTTTTCTTTGTATCTGGACAAATGCCCTTGATTTAGAATAGCTGTACTGGTTTATGTTACATTCTCTAAACATTCAGCCTATTTCTGGCTCAATGACACTTGAGTTGCTAAATTAGAATCCCATGTTTCTTCATCTTGAGTAAACAAATCTTAAATCTTTTCTTTCTCACAGGTACCTGTGCTGTTTTAGTCTCTAGGCTCTTTGACACTAAAGATTTCTCTGTTTTAATGACTCACATTTTCCCTGTTTTGTTGCTTTTTTCTTTGTTTTTCAGCGCTGCCTTTGTGCATCGCAGGACTTCAGTTGATTAGGAGTTAATTTCACGGCATGTAAAAACCAGGAGGGGGGGCTCGTTGTAAACGCTGTCTGCAGCCTGAGCTCATGTCTGAGACGGCAGCCTAAAAGACGTACATGGAGGGAAGGGAATGAGGCAAAGCAGGAGGAGGAGAGGCTGGGGTCAACTGGAAAGGGGGCGTAAGAGAAACGGGGCTGGGGGATGGATGGATGGATGGATGGATGGTTGCAGGGAGGAAGGGAGGAAAGGAGGAAAGGAAGGACACCTGGAAGGCCTGTCTGGGGCAAAATGCCTGCAAAAACAAAACAGCATTACGCCTGTTTTTTCTATCTGCAGAGAGAAAATGATGGCGAGAGAGAAAAAGAAAAGAAAGAAAACACGATAAGAAAGCGGGAATGTGGAGGGTAAATACAAAGAAGGGGAGGGGGCTTTTTGGAGGCACATCAAGAATTTGCCTTTTAAGGGGTACGGTCTCACTCTTCCAATCCTTGTGAGCTTTTCGTAGCAGCCATAATACTCGAGGGAGAAGAAATAAACAACAGCAAAGAGGCTGTGAAAAATAAAAACATGTGCAAAGTTAATAATTTTCACACTTAGTTACACAACATGAAAGATACACAGGGCGTCTTTGTGCTTCAAAATCCAGGCAGAAATCAAGAATCCATCTGACATTCCTTCATTTAGCTTCTCCTATCCTTTGTTATATGTTAGGTAGGCACTCTGCACTGAAAGAGACCTTGTTCCTTGAATGCAACACACAGGCGTCTGCATTGTAAACAAGGGAAGACTCAGGCTCAGTCTTCTCTGAATCACTGGTTCACGCAGCATCCCATCGGCTGCCGTCACTGTTTGGTTTTCTTGGTTGTTTTCTAGACAATATCGGCCATGTGTTTCCCCCGAGCCGAGGAGAGACGACGGCCTGTATCTGGGAGCAGGAAGCTGACTAAGGAGGAGAGGGGGGGGTGGGATGGGGGGGGGGTGAGAACAGAGAGGTGATTGTATATGTGAGTGAGGCGAGAGGTAGAGGGTAGAAGCAAGAGGAAGAGGAGGACGAGACAGATGTGTCCTGGGGATGGTTAGGTTTTGAAAGAAGAAGAAACAGGATGGGGAGGTGACTCCTTGAGCCGTTCAGTCCGGGAAATAGGGATGCATAGAGTTTCAAAGAAAATCAAAGAAGAAAAGGAGTTTCCTCAGAAAGTTTGGGTGTCTACTGTGTGTGTGTGAAACAAAGGAGATTAGCGAGAGGGGGTGGAGGCAGAAAAATGGGGAGTCCACATGTGACTGGTCTGACTCAGAGAGAGAGAGGTGTTTTTAAAGGGTGTATATAGAAAGGGGGGGTGGGGGGGGGGGGGGGGGGGGGCAGTGCGACTATGCAGAGTGTATCCTTCCCTCTGTCCCTGTAACCGGACTGAACGAGAGCCAGGAAAAGGGGAAGGGCCTCCCTCTCCTCCTCTCTCCAGCTGACAAAAACAGCTGCCCAGGAGAACTGGCTGGAGACCGTTTTAGAGGAGCTAGAGGGAGAGAGGAGGAGGGAGGACAGAGAGGGAGAGAGGAGGATTTAAAAAAAAAAGTCCCCAGAGTTCAGGACCCGTTTCACCTTTATGGGTTGCGTCCTGAGTTCGGACTGGTGTGGGGAGGAAGAGGTGCTGCCGGTGGTCAGGAGCTCGTCTCTGAAGACAAGGAGCCTGGAGAGGAGGGAGAGCGGCAGGATGAGGCTGACCAAGGTGAGTGTGTGTGCAGTGTTCACATGAGTGTGTAATAAAGTGAGAGAGAAACATGTTCACTATAATATCTGGACATGCAAGTGTTCATTATGCACTTTCTCTGGCATAGAGGCTGCCCATGCATGTTTATAGTCATGGTGTTTGACTTCTCATCATCACACTGAAGATAGATAGAGTAACTTTGCCATCTTCTGTCTTTGTGAATCCAGGTAGTTATTGATTAAGCACATAATACCATTTTGCCAATCTTCTAATACACAGGTTTGTACAAGAAGGTTTGTGATAGAACTGACTTGATATTTTCTGGCATACTGCATGATTTATCACTTTACGTGGCCTCAAAGTTTCTCTGCGTTCTTCACGAGTTTATAATGCAGATAGGTCATCAAAGGGTTAATTTGGAATGTCTCCAGTTTCTCTCGTTGCAGCTTGTTTACAGGTCTCGTTGCAGCAGCTGTTTCCCTAGAAATATGTCCTTGTGCAGCAAATTTGCAACGGCAAACATGTTTTAATAGGAAACGTAATGTGGACCTTGACCATATGACATGATGAGGAATTGTTGGTTACCATGCCAACTGCCCAGTCACAGAAATGTTGACATTGAGTGTCTCAGTAAAATGTTTGTTTGACAACATTTCAGTTTATTTTCATAGAAAATTGGCAATCTTGTGTTACTCACAACTTTGTATTTGAGTAACACTTTATTACTAAAAAGTCAGATGTTACTTGAGACAATAGATTTATTTTTTCTCTCTCACTGACTTTGTTATTTTTCTGTAAACATAATCCAAGTAGCAATTGTGTTGTCACCACTGCGTGAGTTATCTGGAATCAGATTTGTATTCAACATAAAGTCATTTCTTGGAGTGCATCAGTGTTGTTTATGTTGTCATGAAGCTTTGGTCAAAAACCTGTTTTTGGTTTGGTTGTTTTTTTTTGTGGTTGCTGGGATAGCTTTGGGAAGTCTAATTTATTTTTGAAGGCCTTGAGTGATGTCACTTGAGTCAATGTCAGTTGTTGACAAATTGAATTTACATTTTGTGAGGTGTATTGGAGGTATGAATTTAGCTTTTTAGACTTTTTTTAAGCCTGCATCTGCTTAATGACTCTCTGTTCTAGGTAGTCTACCTGTATCATATTAGGGGTGTAGCATCACGAAGCGAACATCCGCACAGATTCAGAGACAGAACATAATCCATGGCTGCATACTGACGTAACTTGACAGGTTTTCGGCTGTAGCTGGATTTATTTATTTTGGTTTGACATTGATTTCTAACATACTTTCTGTTTTTTTTTAGCAGAAATGTGTAATTATTTGAAAGCAATCCTGCAAATCTCCAAGAATAAATGCTTGTGATATTAATGGTAATTGTTCAGCTGTAAATCTAAAGTCATTCTGTATTTAGCATTGCCACATTTTACTTCACATCTTGATGAGCAGACACACCAACATGGCTGGGTATTTTTAGCTGTTTTGTTTTTTGGTTGAAACAACAGGATGTTTTGCATTTTGCGCGCAGGACTTTGAAGTCCAAGAAGTGATTGTTTGTTGAATTCTTACAAGAAGTGTGTGTGGGTGTGTTTGTCTTTTCTTTGGCCTTGGTTTGAAAGACAGTGTGGATGACGATGGCATCTAGGAGCTGAGGTCACATCTGTGCACACACAATGGCTCTGTTGTGATGCCCTCTGCACTATACTGGAGCATTACCATAATGGTAACAGGCTGGCGGGCTGCAGTGATCTTAAAGTGTTATTCAAGAGAACAGAGAGAACCTTGAAGCAGCTTACATCACTCTGGATTACACACAGACTGAAAAATGTGTCCTTTTTATCCAGATGTTGGACTTATTTTTTTTTTCATGTGCATGCATCTCATCCTTTAATTTCACTTGATTCAGCGTGTGAGTGTGTTTGTGAGTTTGTGTGTACATACTTTGTTGCACCACAATCCCAATGGCTCCATTTCACATGCTAAGCAGCGTGGGAATGTGGAGCCCTCTGGACTACGTCATCCAGCAGTGACTGACCCCGCTACAGGGGTGTGGGAACTGCTATGATCCCAGAGATTACACGACAGAGGACATGATGTCTCATCGGTCTATTTGTGATCTTCTTTTATTAGCTTGTTGTTCACTTCTTGTTTGTATCATTTCATGCTCGTCTCTCTCGTCGATCTCCAGACAATCATATGTCTGTGAAAAAGGTAAATATCAGGGAGAGCCTGCCCAGAATTTGAGCTGGCTCTCAATATTTAGATAACTTGGCAAACACCATGCACATACAGTACATACCATGTCCGACTCGTGCCAAGTACTAACTGGAAATATTTGGCAACATAAAAGGATCTTCCACGTGTTCTGCTCTCACAGTGATTACATAATTGAAATGCTGTTATGCACAGAACAGAATGTTTTATTTATCGGTTTTGTCTTCTTATATCGTACAGTTTTTCATACAAACATTAGTTCAATATTTTTATAGTAATATCACACAGTGTATAAAGTGTTGTATTAGATACAGTAGTGAGGAGATACACTTCTTAACAGTTTGCAGGCTGGGGTTGATTCTATAGACTACCTGCAACCCGCATTCTGTCTAATGGCCAGCAGGGGGCGACTCCTTTGGATGCAAAAACAAGTCAGATTAAGTCCACACATAGGCAGGTTTTTTTTTAACTGAGATTTTCCTCCTCCGTTTCAAAAAATAATCAAACACTAAGTTCTCAAAAACATCATTGTCAACATGAAAACGCAGAACGCACTTTTTACGGCTGTAATGAGCCTTAACATGCTAAAACTGTTCTTGCCCTTCCTCTGCAATGACCATTTCATTTGACAAAGGTGTCCATCCAGGCGTCTCTGCTCGTCAACACATTGTGGGAGAGTAACTTTGGATGTGTGTGTAAGTATATAAAAAGTCCAGTTAGCAGCGTTAACACCTGCACTAGTGTGGTTACGTCTGCCATCGCACTAAATCACTGACATCATGTGAACAAAAGTGACATCGTCGCATGATGACATCAAACGGAGGAGAAACTACACAGAAACACCTTAAACAGAGTTTCTGAAAATCTTCGCCCTTGAAGGAGTTTTCCAAAAGGTGAGTTTTCAGTGACCTAAAACGCAGTTCGCGTACCAAAGGCCGGACCTTTCCAAAATATCCGCCTACATGTAGACATGTGGAGTCTACCAGAATGTGACACAACCTTTCACTTGCCTTAGTAAACATTTTCCTAGTGACTCTCATTACTCAAATATAGCAACTAATTGGATTGTTCTTGGCTTTTTATGGTTCGATATACTTTTCACTTCAAAAATCACTTAAATAAACCTTAATCACACACCTGCATGAATCATGAATAGCTTTCGATCGAGGGTTGAGTACCAATGAATAATATTTTTGAAACCATTTTCTTAAGAAGAGAAGATATCCTATGGTTCTCTTTAAAGTGGTGCATAATTAATTTAAGACCAGTGAAATGCCATGCTATGAAGCCGTGGTTAAACCCTCTCATAAGGTCATTGTTTGAACTCTGTGTGTGTGCTGTGATCACACACGGTCAATATTGGCGTTGAAAGTTAAATATCTTCATATCTTGGCGGACACTAAGATAAATGTGTATTTAATCCGCCTACATACACAGCCAAGAGTTCAAGTCTGACACTCATTAATGGAGTCCCTTGGCAGATATGTTTTCATATGAAACCTATTCTCTCGAAGTCTCCATCGCCAAAGAACAGCAGGTTCTTTTTAGCCAGGCTGCACTCGAGAGGTAGAAATGTCAGAGTCAGTCAGTCAGTAAGTCATCACTCTATAGCCAAGACTCTTTTTTTTGACTTATGGATGGGTTATCATTAAATTCAGTACGACAGAGGTGTAGAGAGAAAAAATCATAAAGACTGTTGAGATTTCCAAACAACCATAAGGGTCACATTTTGTCGTTTTAATCGAAATATCTCAACGACCAAAGGGTGGATTCACATGTATTTGGTGCAGACAGTCAGGTCCCTTTGGTGATTCTTTAAAGAGGTCATATTTTGCCCTTTTTGGGGTTCATATATTTAATCTATGTACTGACTAAAGTATGTTCACAATAGCTAAAGTTCGAAAAAAGTATTGTATCTGTTTTCATGTACTGCCGCTCCATGCACCGGCTCGCTTCTGACTCTCTCTCTAAGGCTCTGAAGTGCCCCCACGTTCAGAGTCCCCACGTGTGGTCTGATCTGAGTGGTCGGCCTGTCGGCTCTGCCGTAATTGGTCAGTCGCTCAGCACGGTTCTCGGAAATGTCACACCCCTTTTACCATATTGGGAATGCAGCCACTTTGGCTCTGAGGGCCGAGCAAAAACATTTGCACCTTAGCACTACTGTGCTACCGCAGGCTACGGCATATCATGGCCGTGCTACAGAAGTTAATGGGTGTGCAACATGAGTTGCTGGGCTTGCCACAACGAGCCAATGGGCTTAGATCAGTGATCTCACACTGACAATGACGTCGGACTGACAAATTTTTTTCGAGGGGGGCTAGAACTGAGCGTTACATTCAGCTAATGCTACAGCTAACAGGAGGAGGTAGGAGAAGCCACGTTTCCGCAGACTTATATGACCCCTTTAAGTCTTCATTCATCACCAGAATTAATTCAATTTTTTTATTCAACTAAAGTTGGGTTATATGACTATTTTTTGCAAAAGTTGAAGCAGTCTGATCATCCAGCGGTTCTTTTTCTCTGGTGCCAACCTGAGACAGAATTTTCAATATGGCGACCACCATCGATGGGCTTCAAATCTACGCTTGAGAAACCAATTGATGGTGTCACCAAGACCACGTCCATGTTTTTTACATTCTATGATCTGCTTATGATTTTGCAAATATTTTGCTTTTTTTTTTTTGCAAAAAAAGCAAATATTACATTACCTCCAGTGTAGCTAGTCAATAATCAGCTTAGTGATTACATATCTGGGCCAAGACTTTGGTCATTATTTCCTGTCTGACTGTAACTT